ATGCAGCAGCGTCACGGGGAACACGAACATCACGTGCTGGTAGAGCGTCTGCCACAGGCAGGGCAGCAGCTGCCGCGCGGACGGCGAGAAGTCCGGGTGGATCTTGTAACGCCGCAGCGCGGGCACCCAGCAGCACAGGACGTCCAGCACCACGAAGGGCAGGCAGAAGCCCACGTATGTGGTGATGGAGAAGATGACCGGGAAGAAGGGCGACAGTATGAGGGCCTCCCAGCTCCTCACGCGGTCCCAGAGGGGCTGCAGGAGCAGCTGCTCAGAGCTGCAGAGGACCTGGGGCTGGGAGCAGTTGTGGCAGCTCATGGCGAGGCTGTGCGGGTAGCAGCTGCTGCTGCTGCTCGAGTCCCACCGACTTTTCACAGGACTGCGGGCCCCGCCCCAAGTGACGTCACTGCGTTTCCATCGCTCTCCGCGCGGTGCGAAGCCTGAGTAAGTCATCGGCCCGGCAGAGCGGCGCTTGATTGCTGTAAATATGCTCCTCTACAGCCGCATCTCAGCGGCTCTGATACGTGCGTGCAGGCTGGGCACTTAGTACTTTTCATCTATGTTCTGGATTTTCAGTTGATGTACAGTCAACACACGATATACAATGTACAGACCTACCGTGCGGAGTTTCTATGAGTTTGGCAACTCAGTTCACGTGTGTCATCACGAGTCTCAAACTAAACGGTTTCCATTGCCACCAGAAAGCGCATCTTGGCAATCAGTGCAGAACTGTTTGTATTTTTTAATGCATACGTACAACTACATCCATGTGCTTTCATAAAGACGCAAGCATAACCACATTTTTTAAAATTGTCTAAAGCGGCAAGCGGTCTGTAGCTCGGGTGTTGCGGTCTATCCAGCCGCGAACTGGAAATGATCCCTTCGCACAGGGAACCACGGGTCCCCGACCGCCGGCGGTGACCATCAGCTCAGGAAATCAGACGGGACAGGTGGCCGGATGGGAACCTCCGCCAGCTCCAGCTTCTCCCGAGAGTTTTCCTGGCAGGCGGGCAGCAAGCTGGAGAGCCCCAGCACGTAGGCTCTCCGGGAGGGGGCGCAGCCCGGCCGCGGAGCTACCCTAGGAGGCGGTTCCCGGGGCGCCCGGCCGGCGATCGGAGCGGGGAGGCACCACACAGCTGAGACAGGGCTCCGCTTCGCTGCATTTAAAGCCCAGTCTGCGCCAATCTGGCTAAAAAGCCGTTGTATTTGGGGTGGGAACAGTTAATTCAGCAAACCACCTGCGTTGTTCATCAAGGGAAAGAGATGCGCATTCCTGAAGCCTCCCGGGAGGCTGTTGAAGGAGCAGGTGAGGCGGCCACTACCCTGCCCTTCCCCCTTGTTGGCTTCGCTGGGCCAGCTGGCCCCCGCCCTCCGCCTCCCTTCCCCGAATCCACTCCCGGCCGACAGAGCTGGGCTACGGGGCTCTCTCTATCCCCTGCATTTATCCGCCACCCCACTGGGGTCCTTGGGCCAGGGGACACCAAGCACAAGGAGGTCGGTGCTAGGAGAGCTCTCGGGAGACTCTGGGAACAGCACAAAAATCCTTGCTTTCAACCCATGACACGAAACAAGAGTCCCTTAGAGGATAGACGTTTTGGACACAAGCTTTGAAACCAGGAAGCAATCCCAATTCTTTCTTAGTGTCTTCTCTCTGTGTGGTTGGGGTCAGCCCTTCACTCCTTGAAGCTTGCCTTTTCTTATCCCCACAATTCCCTATAAAGGGAAATTGAGAATATTAAATGGAAAAATATTAAGTCTACCGTGTAAAGCCCACCTAGGTGCCACGCATTGGCTAAATGTTTTATTTGAAGTGATTTCATCCAATCCGGAAAAGAGCTGGCTTCTTCACCCTGCCAAGAAGTAGGATTATTATTATTGCTGTGGGTTTACAGCAGTAAAATCATAAGCCCTAGCACACGGCAAACACACAAAGTAATATGCATACAGTTTTAAACTCCAAATATTACCTGAAAGATAACTGAGTAATTTGAAATTAAAATCAAGTAAGATTATGTAAAGAGAAATAAAAAATACAAAGCCGTCTATTATGAGGAAAGAACAAGTGCTGCAAAAATATGGACCAATATATGGGCTTAAAACTACGATAATATATAGCATATATGCATACATATATAATAGACCAATTCATAATATATAATATATAGCATATAGATACATAGGCCAATTTGTAATTCAGAATCATCTAACTTGTGTGTGTCCATTAACCGCCCCTGATGGAATTCTGACATTCCTTAGACCCTCATTCCCAGAAACCCTCAGGAGTAGCCTCTAGCCCCACAGCAGCCTTTTTAAACCCAGTGTGCCATAAAAAATATTATTGTATTCTACTAACATATTTGCTGTTGATGAGATAAAGGTTCAGAAGCAGCTCTGGGCTTCTTGACAGCCAATGCAAAAAGGGAAAGAGGATGTATTTTTCTAATGCTGCTGCTTTGATTTCTAGATAGCAGAAAATAGGTATAATGCAGGCCCCTGGTTTCTTCCAATTAAACAACCTGTCCTTCCCAGGCTGTTCACCTTCACCCATACCTCCCATCTCCTCCCTTCCCCAATGCTGTTTTCATGTCACTTTTAGGGCAACCCAGAAACTTTTCTTTCTTATTCCCACTAGACATGGTCCTGTCCTTGATGCAGTGTTTCGGAGAAAAGCTTCCTTCTTACTACTCCAAAGGAACCATTAGAGCTCAATTTCTCAGCACTAAAAATGGATTTCTGCTCGTAAGTAAAATATCACTCAAATTTACCCTCAACAGAAGTTAACCCCCAACCTTCCTTTCAGCACACATTGTCCTGTTCTTGTGATCTCAGTTATCATGCTTGGGTGCTTTGGATGCTCTTCTAGACTTTTTTTAAGTGAGTGGCATTGGCAGGTTTGCTTACTTTGAATTTAGCTGCTAGGTTTGCTGTCAGGACTGTCTTCTTTGAGCCCCCCCACCCCAACCAACCCATTCGTTTTCTGCTTTGGTGCATCCATCTTCTATCACTGTTAGAATAGTCTCCATGTGCTGATTGCAGAAAGCTGTGGGCAGCAAAACCTGAGAGCTGTGGCTTCAGCCTGCTTTGTCGGGGCTCTCCCTTCTGACTTCATGGCACTTTGAAGACTAGCAACTAGCTTCTCTGCCATCTTTGCGCTTGCAGCTGACCAGGACAGAAGTTTTTATCTAACTATACCAAGGGAACCATCCCAGGGGAAATGATGAATCACAGTTGTATTAGTTCACTCTATATCATGGGGAATGCTGAACAATATGTCAGGTAACCAAAAATAGCATCACTTAATGGACCAAAATAAAACTGAACACTAAGAAGAACTAAGATGGTATCATTTCTTCAGTTTGGCACACTTCCACCTTTAGACAGTTTTTATTTGTGCAAAAACTTAATAGCTTGCTAGATGAATAGGTCTTTTTAGAGCACAGGGTATCTCTTCTTGGGCTTTTTCCCACAGTACCAAGCATTGCATCTTGTATAAAATGAGTGTTCAAAAGGTATTTGTAGACTCAAGATTCATTGTAAAGGATATTGGCTCTAAATTGAGGCTAAAAAATATTTTTTTTTTCTGGAGTACTGGTTGATGTAGATTGGATCTACTTACCTGGAAAGATGGCTTTCCCTAAAATGGGGTGTTTATGGGTGGCATTAGAACGTTGGCCACACCATTTCTTGTTCAACTGATGTTTTTCCACAAAAAGGGGTGTTTTGTGACAGATGGCATTAGACCTTTGGCCATGCCATCTCTTCCCCAGCTGATCATGGCTTCCTGCATATCATTTTTGTCTTGGCATGGTTTTTCTGGCAGGGTTGGAGGACAGGAATCCTTTATTTTCTGTTTATTACAGGGGCCAAATCACTTTTCTGAGAGTACAACAATCAAGTCTCTGCATACTAATCACAATCTCAAAGTTATATGGCACCAACTCACCAAAAGACTGTGGATACTGCTCCCCTACTTCCTGCAAATAGAACATGTAGTAGCAAAGCCTGTTACCAGACACATAATCCCTTTCTAAAGTAACCTTTATGATTTCTTTTTTTTCTCAAATTAGGTAAGGCCTAGTTTGTAGGTAAGGATACTAACTAAAACTGTTCCTGGATATTAGAAATGTATAGTGTTGTGTATCATAGAAGACTCATAGAGGCAGAATGATCTCAAAGACCAAAATCGAATCCTTCATTTTAAAGACTAAAGATTAAAAATGCAGTCTCAGAAAAGTCAAGACAAGACTAGCTAGGGTTAAAAAAGCAAGGTGCAGCCAAAGTGAGCAGAAAAGGGCCAATGTTGGTTCTAAGGTAAGTATCTCTTCAGGAGGAGTTTGGTGTTGCAGTGGGGCATTGAAGCTGCTTTTATGTGACACTTTACAAAAGACTCAGAAAACATTAGTTAGCCAAGCCAAAAACAATGGGAGATGCTGATGAAGAACGTGAGGATGTTAGCTCCCTCCAAACACTCCCTTGATGCTCCTATTAGTCCAAATACTGGTGCAGATTTGGTTTTAAACACTTTATATTTCAATCACACGTCACATGCAAATGGGTGCTTCTACTCACTCAAATTGTTGAAGCTCTCAACAACTTCTCTGAAAATTTTAAGGCAAATAAAATCATCCCCATTAAAAGGCATACACTTGCCTGGAAAGTAGAGAAACAAATACTTGCCTCACCTGTCAAAGGGGTTATTGCAAAGATCGAAGCCTTATGAAAAGGCTTTGAAACCCCACAAGGCACAATGCAAAATGCAAAGTATTATTTTTAGTAATGCTAAGACAATTTGACAAAGATTTTGAGAGTTTTACTTGCTTAATCCAGAACTGAAGTTGAAATCTGCACCTAACACAACATAATAAAATACTGGTTGAATGACTTTTTAAAAATCAGAATAATTACTTTTCAAAGTTGCCTTTCAGTGTCACAACAGATCAGGGTGACTTCTCTTTTGAAAATCTCTTCATATGTTAAAAAATAAATGACAAGAGATCAAATTACAGCATATTTTTTAATGTTTACATTTAACAAATTAACACTTTTAATACCTACAAACACAAAATAATCATTATTTGGGGATGTCACTAGTATAAATTTCAGTCCTATATACGTGTGAGGCCTGAGTTAAAACCTTTTCCTCCTGCCACCCATCCCCCAACCACATCTGAAGTTCTGATCAGTCATTTACCTATTAAGCAAACTTTTATTTTCAGTTTACATTTGAGGGGCAGCTATTCCTTGAGAATGTCTTCCAGATGTTATCCGCTAGGCAAGAAGTAATCATACTCCTGAACAGAAATACAACCATGGCTGGCCATCAAATTACCAACTGGCTCATAATGCAGCAAAGTTCTCTACCTTCCCTAGAGGAAGACACTGGAGAAAATCTCAGAAAAAGTAGTGAGGGAAGGGGGCATGGGAAGATTTGCAAGCAAAGCCAAGAGTGCCCTCTTGTGGCAAACAAAAACATGATTTTTTAAAAAGTCGCTCTCATTGTTACTTGGTAGCCCTTCATTTCCCAAGTAAACACATTATTTTAAAGAAGAGTTCCAAGTCCTGCCAAGAGAGAAAGGGAAGAATTGAATGTCTATTAAATAAAAGAGAAAAAACATACACACAATTCTTTGGGCCTATGAGGCTCATTCAGTTTTATTGAAAAGTTTAAGTAAGACTTTAAACATTACAAAGTAGTATTCTGCCTGCTTCTATTAGCCAATACCAAGCACTGTATTGTTACTGCAGCTAAAGTAACTATATCAGAAAAACATATCAATTGTCATTTTGTCCACTGGACAATACTGTAAAAAACAATGCTACAAGAAAAGCATAAAAATATGGACTTCCCAACACAGGGACGTGAAGCAGGTGTATTCAAAATAAAGACACATATAAAACTAAGACATAAAATGAATCCCTGAGCTGAGCATTCATCCAAAAACATCATATTCACACTTCATTTGGGTGAAAATGAACTAGGACACTTCTCATGGGCAACCACAGACTTTGGCTTCATACAGATATGATCAATAATGACAGTAGCTGATTCCAAGAGTATATTAATCTCAGGGGAAAAAACAGTGATATAGTCTCCACAGGGATTTGCTTCTCGAATAAGTAGAATTATGGCCTGGCATGAAATCTGGAGTTCATGGATATAGATGGTTGAATGTATCAGTCTTCAAGTATTTAAAACATATATATATATTTTTTTAATCAGTGCAATTTGTTTTTGAAGACTCCAGAAGATTATTTCATGTAACCTGAGCAATTAAAACGTGTCAAATCACAGCTGTCACAGTTAGGTTTGATAAAATTCATTGTAGAATCTTTGTTACTGGCACAGCTGTGATATTTCTAGATTTGACTATGCACCTACTGCCAGAAAACATGATCAAATGTCATTTAGATCTCTAACTACAAGGCCATTAGACTAGAGAGCCCTTTAAGGCAAGGACATGAAAACTGTGTACTTTTATACCTAACTCAAGTCAGTGACAGATTTACCAATGACAACACAATTTAAAAATTCCAACATACCTATTAATTTGTCCTATGAAGGGCAAAAAAGTCAATATAGTATATTTAAAATTTTAAGAACAGAATGGATATAATAACCTTTTCACACATTAATGATATTTAAAAGACTTAAAGAGACAACACCATGGTTGAGACACTAGCTTCCTATTCCAGCCCTAATTAAAGAAAAAAAACCAGCTAGTGTGTTTCTAATTGTAACTACAGAGAAGAGGGCATCTTCAAAGTTATCATTTTCTTAGGTATGAAAATACAAAAGACCTGGGAAAGGAAAACAAGTGTTTTACAGAAATTAAGCAAACACATTTTCACATGATGTACTCACTGACTTGATGGTACACAGCTCAAGTCCAGCTTTCACTGATGTTTCCTCATTAGATTAATAATTTTATTATATAGCCGCCAAGGGGCATCCAGGCCCCAGATGAAGTCAAGATGCTCCCACTCTGGAATGCTCTCATGGGACACCAAGTTGGTGATCTGAGTCAGTAAGATATTGATGTCGTAGACATCTGCAAGCCAGTCATGACCCCCACTCCAGACTGCAGTCGGCACAAGCATGTCCTTCACATTGTACATGGGAGGGTAACTCTGCAATGAAAAGGAAACACAGAAAGCCTCGTTGTTGTTTTAATTTTTGAAGTCATAATAAACACAATCTCCATTAAACACTGTCTAGGTTTGACTAAGAATAACAGACTAAATTATACATATATAATTGCACTTCAGGTTCTGAGGTACATGTGAAGAACATGCAGGATTGTTGCATAGGTACATACATGGCAATGTTGTTTGCTGCCTCCATCCCCATCACCTATATCTGGCATTTCTCCCCTTGTTATCTCTCCCCAACTCCCTACCCCCCACTGGCCCTCCCCTAGTCCCCCCCAACAGATCTCAGTTTGTGATGCTCCCCTCCCTGTGTCCATGTGTTCTCATTGTTCAACACTCGCCTATGAGTGAGAACATGTGATGTTTGATTTTCTGTTCTTGTGACAGTTTGCTGAGAATGATGGTTTCCAGATTCATCCATGTCCCTACAAAGGACACAAACTCATCGTTTTTGATGGCTGCATAGTATTCCATGGTGTATATGTGCCACATTTTCCCTGTGCAGTCTATCATCGATGGGCATTTGGGTTGGTTCCAAGTCTTTGCTATTGTAAACAGTGCTGCAATGAACATGCGTGTGCATGTGACTTTATAATAGAACAATTTATAATCCTCTGGGTATATACCCAGTAATGGGATTGCTGGGTCAAATGGAATTTCTATTTCTAGGTCCTTGAGGAATCACCACATTGTCTTCCACAATGATTGAACTAATTTACACTCCCACCAACAGTGTAAAAGTGTTCCTATTTTTCCACATCCTCTCCAGCATCTGTTGTCTCCAGATTTTTTAATGATCGCCATTCTAACTGGCATGAAACGGTATCTCAATGTAGTTTTGATTTGCATTTCTCTAATGGCCAGTGATGATGAACATTTTTTCATATGTTTGTTGGCCTCACATATGTCTTCTTTTGAAAAGTGTCTGTTTGTCTCCTTTGCCCACTTTTGAATGGGTTTGCTTTTTTCTCCTAAATATGTTTTAGCTCTTTGTAGATTCTGTATATTAGCCCTTTGTCAGATGGGTAGATTGCAAAAATGTTTTCCCATTCTGTTGGTTGCCAGTTCACTCTAATGAGTGTTTCTTTTGCTGTGCAGAAGCTCTGGAGTTTAATTAGATCCCATTTGTCTATTTTGGCTTTTGTTGCCAATGCTTTTGGTGGTTTAGTCATGAAGTCCTTGCCTATACCTATGTCCTGAATGGTTTTGCCTAGGTTTTCTTCTAGGGTTTTTATGGTGTTAGGTCTTATGTTTAAGTCTTTAATCCATCTGGAGTTAATTTTAGTGTAAGGTATCAGGAAAGGGTTGGGTTTCTGCTCTCTGCACATGGCTAGCCAGTTTTCCCAACACCATTTATTAAACAGGGAATTCATTCCCCATTGCTTGTTTTTGTCTGGTTTGTCAAAGATCAGATGGTTGTAGATAGGTTGTGTTGCCTCTGAGACCTCGGTTCTGTACCATTGGTCTGTATCTCTGTTTTGGTACCAATACCATGCTGTTTGGATTACTGTAGGCTTGTAGTATAGTTTGAAGTCAGGTAGCATAATGCCTCCAGCTTTGTTCTTTTTGCTTAGAATTGACTTGGCTGTGCAGGCTCCCTTTTGATTCCATATGAAGTTTAACGTGATTTTTTCCAGTTCTGTGAAGAGGGTCATAGGTAGCTTGTTGCGGATAGCACTGAATCCATACATTACTTTGGGAAGTATGGCCATTTTTACAATATTGATTCTTCCTTACCATGAGTATGGAGTGTTTTTCTATCTGTTTGTGTCCTCTCTTATTTCCTTGAGCATTGGTTTGTAGTTCTCCTTGAAGAGGTCCTTTACATCCTTTGTCAGTTGTATTCCTAAGTATTTTATTCTCTTTATAGCAATTGTGAATGGCAGTTTGTTCTTGATTTGGCTCTCTTTAAGTCTGTTATTGGTGTATAGGAATGCTTGTGATTTCTGCACATTGATTTTGTTTCCTGAGACTTTGCTGAAGTTGCTTATCAGTTTTAGGAGATTTTGGGCTGAGATGATGGGGTCTTCTAAATATACTATCATATTGTCTGCAAATAGAGACAATTTGACTTCCTCCTTTCCTAATTGAATACCCTTTATTTCTTTTTCTTGCCTGATTGCTCTGGCTAGAACTTCCAATACTATATTGAATAAGACTGGTGAGAGAGGGCATCTAGCATCCTTGTCTAGTGCTAGATTTGAAAAGGAATGCTTCCAGTTTTTGCCCATTCAGTATGATATTGGCTGTGGGGTTGTCATAAATAGCTTTTATTATTTTGAAATACGTTCCATTGATACCTAGTTTATTGAGAGTTTTTAGCATAAAGGGCTGCTGAATTTTGTCAAAGGCCTTCTCTGCATCTATTGAGATAATCATGTGGGTTTTGTGTTTGGTTCTGTTTATGTGGTGAATTACATTTATAGACTTGCATATGTTGAACCAGCCTTGCATCCCCGGGATGAATCCTACTTGATCATGGTGGATAAGCTTTTTGATGTGCTGTTGCAATCGGCTTGCCAGTATGTTGGGAAAACAGGCTAGCCATGTGCAGAAAGCAGAAACTGGAACCCTTCCTGACACCTTACACTAAAATTAACTCCAGATGGATTAAAGACTTAAACATAAGTCCTAACACCATAAAAACCCTAGAAGAAAATCTAGGCAAAACCATTCAGGACATAGGCGTAGTCAAGGACTTCATGACCAAAACACCAAAAGCATTGGCAACAAAAGCCAAAATAGACAGATGGGACCTTGGGTATATTGATCCAGCCTTGAATCCCCAGGATGAAGCCTACTTGATCGTGATGGATATGCTTTTTGATGTGCTGTTGCAGTTGGTTTGCCAGTATTTTTTTGAAGATTTTTCCATCTATATTCATCATGGATATTGGCCTGAAGTTTTCTTTTCTTGTTGAGTCTCTGCCAGGTTTCGGTATCAGGATGATGTTGGTCTCATAAAATGATTTGGGAAGGATTCCACCTTTTTTATTGTTTGGAATAGTTTCAGAAGAAGTGGTATTAGCTCCTCTTTGTATGTCTGGTAGAATTTGGCTGTGAACCCATCTGGACCTTGGCTTTTTTTTGATTGGTAAGCTATTAATTGCTGCCTCAACTTCAGCCCTTGTTATTGGTCTATTCAGGGTTTTGACTTCTTCCTGGTTTAGGCTTGGGAGGGTGCAAGTGTCCAGGAATTTATCCATTTCTTCCAGGTTTACTGGTTTATGTGCATAAAGTTGTTTGTAGTAATCTCTGACGGTGGTTTGTATTTCTGTAGAATCTGTGGTGATATCCCCTTTATCATTTTTTTATTGCATCTATTTGATTATTCTTTCTTTTCTTTTTTATTAATCTGGCTAGCAGTCTGTCTATTTTGTTAATCTTTTCAAAAAAAACAGATCCTGAAGTTATTGATTTTTTTTGAAGGGTTTTTGTGTCTCAGTCTCCTTCAGTTCTGCTCTGATCTTAGTAATTTCTTTTCTTCTGCTAGCTTTTGAGTTTTTTTGATCTTGCTCCTCTAGCTCTTTCAATTTTGAAGATAAGGTATTGATTTTTTATCTTTCCTTGCTTCTCATGTGGGCATTTATTGCTATAAATTTTCTTCTAGACACTGCTTTAAATGTGTCCCAGAGATTCTGGTACGTTGTGTCTTCATTCTCATTAGTTTCAAAGAACATCTTTATTTCTGCCTTCATTTCATTGTTTATCCAGTCAACATTCAAAAGCCAGTTGTTCAGTTTCCATGAAGTTGTGCCATTCTGAGTTAGTTTCTTAATCCCGAGTTCTAATTTGATTGAACTGTGGTCTGAGAGACTGTTTGTTATGATTTCCATTATTTTGCATTTGCTGAGGAGTGATTTACTTCCAATTATGTGGTCGATTTTAGAGTAGGTGTGATGTGGTGCTGAGAAGAATGTATACTCTGTGTATTTGGGGTGGAGAGTTCTGTAAATGTCTATTAGGTCTGCTTGGTTCAGGTCTAAGTTCAAGTCCTGGATATCCTTGTTAATTTTCTGTCTCGTTGATCTGTCTAATGTTGACAGTGGAGTGTTAAAGTCTCCCACTCTTATTGTGTGGGAATCTAAGTTTCTTTGTAGGTCTTTAAGAACTTGCTTTATATACCTGGGTGCTCCTGTATTGGGTATGTATATATTTAGGAACGTTAGCTCTGCTTGTTGCATTGATCCTTTTACCATTATATAATGCCCTTCTTTGTCTCTTTTGATCTTTGTTGGTTTAAAGTCTATTTAATCAGAGACTAGGATTGCAGCTCCTGCTTTTTTTTTGCTTTCCATTTGCTTGGTAGATCTTCCTCCATCCCTTTATTTTGAGCCTATTTGGGTCCTTGCATGTGAGATGGGTTTCCTGAATATAGCACACCAGTGGGTTTTGACTTTTTAATCGAATTTGCCAGTCTGTGTCTTTTGATAGAGGCGTTTAGTCCATTTACATTTAAGGTTAACATTGCTATGTGTGAATTTGGTCCTGTGATTTTGATGCTAGCTGGTTGTTCTGCCCATTACTTGATGAAGTTTCTTCATTGTGTCAATGCTCTTTACCATTTGGTACATTTTCAGAATGGCTGGTACTGGTTGTTCCTGTCTATGTTTAGTGCTTCTTTCAGGAGCTCTTATAAGGCAGGCCTGGTGGTGATCAAATCTCTGAGCAGTTGCTTGTTCATAAAGGATTTTATTTCTCCTTCGCTTATGAAGCTTAGTTTGGCTGGATATGAAATTCTAGGTTGAAAGTTCTTTTCTTTAAGGATGTTGAATATTGGCCCCCACTCTTTTCTGGCTTTCAGGGTTTCTGTCAAGAGATCTGCTATAAGTCTGAGGGGCTTCTCTTTGTAGGTAACCTGACTTTTCTCTCTGGCTACCCTTAGCATTTTTTCCTTCATTCAACCCTGGTGAATCTGATGATTATGTGCCTTGGGGTTGCTCTTCTTGAGGAATATCTTTGTGGTGTTCTCTGTATTTTCTGAACATGAATATTGGCCTGCCTTGCTAGGCTGGGGAAGTTCTCCTGGATAGTATCCTGAAGAGTTTTCCAGCTTGGATTCATTCTCTCTATCACATTCAGGTACACCTATAAAATGTAGATTAGGTCTTTTCACATAATCCCATATTTCTTGGAGGCTTTGTTCATTTCTTTTTACTCTTTTTTCTCTGATCTTGCCTTCTGGTTTTGTTCATTGAGATGATCTTCAAACTCTGATATCCTTTTTTCTGCTTGGTCGATTCAGCTATTGAAACTTGTGTATGCTTCACGAAGTTCTCGTGTTGTGTTTTTCAGCTCCATCAATTCATTTATATTCCTCTCTAAGCTGTTTATTCTCTTTAGCATTTTGTCAAACCTTTTTTTAAGGTTCTTAGTTTTTTTGCATTGCATTAGAACATGTTCTTTTAGCTCAGAGAAATTTGTTATTACCCACCTTCTGAAGCCTGTTTGTCAATTCATCAGACTCATTCTCCATCCAGCCTTGTTTCCTTGCTGGTGAGGAGTTCTAATCCCTTGGAGGAGGAGAGGCATTCTGGTTTTGGGTGTTTTCAACCTTTTTACACTGGTTTCTTCCCGTTTTTGTGGATTTATCTACCTGTGGTTTTGTAGTTGGTGACTTTCCGATGGAGTCTCTGAGTAGATGTCCTTTTTGTTGACAATGAAGTTATTTCTGTTTTTTAGTTTTCCTTCTGACAGTCAGGCCCCTCTGCTATAGGACTGCTAGAGGTCCACTCCAGACCCTGCTTGCCTGGGGATCAACTGCAGTGGCTGCAGAACAGTAAGGGTTGCTGCCAGTTTCTTCTTCTGTTATTTTTGTCCCAGAAGGATACCTACCAGATGTCAGCCTGAGCTCTCCTTTATGAAGTGTCTCTTTGAATATACGGGGGTCAGGGAGCTGCTTGAGGAGACAGTCTGTCCCTTATAGGTGCTCAAGTGCTGAGCTGTGGGCTCCATTGTTCCGTTCAGAGCTGCTGGGCAAATATGTTTAAGTTTGCTGCAGTGAAACTCATAACCACCTTTTTCTCCCAGGTGCTCTGTCCCAGGAAGTTGCGGCTTTATTTATAAGTTCCTGGTGTGCTGTTGCCTTTTTTCAGAGATGCCCTGCCCAGTGAGGGGGTAGCCTGGTCACAGTCTGCCAGCCGAGGCATTGCTGAGCTGCCATGGGCTCTGCCCAGCTGCTGTGTGAACTTCCTTGCAGTTTTGTTTATAGATGTATAGTTAGAACTGCCTCAGTAATGGCAGTCTGACTCAGTAATGGAGGACTGCCTCGGTAATGGCAGTCTGACTCAGTAATGGAGGACTGCCTCGGTAATGGCGGACTGCCTTGGTAATGGCAGACTGTCTCAGTAATGGCAGACACCCTTCCCCCAACAGAGTGGACCATCCTGGGTCCAGCTGTGCTTGCTGTGAATCTCTCAATCCGGAGCATTTCAGATTGCTGGTCTTTGTGGGGGTGGGGCCCACTGAGCCAGATCACCTAGCTCCCTGTTTCAACCCCCTTTCTTTCAGTTGAATGGGCAGCTCTGTCTCCCAGATGTTCCAGTCACCAGTTGAAATGGCACCTGGATTTGTGTGAGCTTTTGTGAGGATACCCACTGAGCCGACTGAAACAGCCATGCTGGAGACTTGTGGCACTTTTCCGCCCAGGAATCTCCTGGTCTGTGGGCAGTAAAAATTTGTTTGGAAATGTGGTAATCACTCACCCTCTGCATTTTTTCTGTGAACTGCAATCCAGAGCTATTCCTATTTGACCATCTTCGATCATCCTCTGCACCAACCCAGAGTAAATTTTTTAAATCCCTTTGAGTATCTTTTCAAGTTACCATTACCAGCACCAAAAAAAAAAAAAAAAAATCTAACCCCAAATGAAAGAATCCTCATTATAATTGCCACAGCTGTGGAGCTGCTGCTGTAGGCTGGGCACCAAAATTAGTGTTTAATCCGTGGCAAAGAAGGCATTGTACTCCATAGGTAGTAAATGCAAAGCAATAGAACCCAATGGTTAGAAAGAGTTTGGAGTCATGCCCTCTTACTTCCTCCATTTGAGTGTAAGACAAGTCACAGAAATTCTCCAAGCCTTACTGTCCTCATCTTTAAGTGAAAGATAATCATGCTATGTCACAGAGATGTCCTGGGAATTAAAAATAAATAAATAAATAAATAAATAAATAAATAAATAAATAAATAAAAACAGAGCAAAGTATCTCACACTTCAGCACATTTAGTGTGCTTATAAATGCTAATTTCATTTATACAGGGAAGAAGAAGCTTAAGCAACATCATTTGGCCAGGGCCCCACAGCTACCAGATAACAGACCTAGGACTGTCTGATTCTACAGGCTGTGTTTGCAATCACTCTGAATAATGCATAACAGTGAAGACTCTTATTTAGAACTGCGGAAAAGACAAAGAGAGGAGGCCCAGTCCACAATATCAGCTACAAAGCTTGGGTTGTTCTGAATGGACTGATGGAAAACAAACAATAGTGAACTCCCCCAAACATTTCCCACAGCAGCTGAGACTGGCCAGAATCCTGATAGGCCAGACTGGCTTTCTTGATGAGTTTTCAGGGTGCCCTTTAATCAAAAAACTGAAAAGTTTACCTGGTTGTAATGAAAATAATTCTTGGCACTGCTTCCCCAGTCAAAGGCTTGAAACTTTTGGAATTTAACAGCCTAAAAGATAATAATTTGGAAAAAAAGTTATCTGACATCGAAGTTAGAGATAACATCATAGGTAGGTTGCTGGAGCCAGCCATGACCTCAAAACCAACTTTACAGCAATAGCCAGAGTTACTCTTTATTTCCAAGGCATTATTTTAAATAAAATGGCATGGTTTTGTTCTACTTTACTGGATGACTCAATTTCTCATTGTAAGATTTTTAAGCAGCTACTACCTGATACAAGAAAGCAGCTATACACATAAGCTGTGGATTATACTAGATCAACAGTGGCTCCTGCTAGGGGAACTTTATGCTGGCATTTTCTATTGAAATTTGCATCCTAAACTTTTTCAAAGAGTTAGTGATTTTACTTGGGAAATATAGATATGTAGATAGATACATATATACATACATATGTATATTTTATAGAGAGATGGATATATATATATATAGAGAGAGAAAATAATTATACAATTGGCCCTCCATATATAGTTTTGCATCTGTGGATTCAACCAAGTGATATTTTACAGATTGAAAATATTTGGAAAAAACAATAAAAGATAACAATAAAACAATAAAAAATACTAATTTTAAAGCACAGTATAACACCTACTTACCTAGCATTTACATTGTACTGGGCTTCATAAGTCATCTAGATAAAATTTAAAGCATATGAAAGGATGTTCATAGGCTATATGCAAATACTTCCCCATTTTATATAAGGGACTTGAGTATCTATCTCTAAATTTTGGTTTGGAGGGAAGTGTCTGGAGCCAGTCCACAAAGATACTTGAGGGACAACTGTATATTTTCTATTTACCCATTCTACTGGTCTATTTATATTACTTAGTCAAATTTTAATGACTGTATCAATTAAACACTTTTTCTTGAGTACTGGTACCAGTACAATCACCAAGTAGGACTGCATGCCGGCTAATTCTAACTAGTTAGGGATATTAGAGCCATGAAATTGAAATTTACATTTATTTATATTTAAAATCGTATAATATAAAAATGTTAGCAAAAAGTCACTTATTTTTTAAATTCGAAATAATGCAAATCCATATTTCCTCTACACTCTCAAATTAAATGTACGTCAAGAATTAAACCCAAAACTGGCAAGCCAAATGAATTGAAAATGGTATTTTTTGGCCACAAGGTGGCGCCTGGTGAAAAGAAATATCCACATTTTTTTTTGTCAAAACTGCGTTTATGTGAAGTCTTTTCTTACCAACTGCATAAAATTCTACTGTTTGATGTAATAAAAGACAGAGTAAGATGATATACTACAGGAGAAATGTTTGGCATCTGCTTTTGCCATTGCAAATGACAGATATTAAATACCTGTGGCATATTTAACAAGCAATACAAAATTTGGATTCACAGCACCTGTTAATGCATCTGTTCCCCATCTTTGTCAGTGAAAATATATTGATGCAAACTATTCTGCCACTGAACACAGACAGCAGTTCATCACTTTGTGACATATCCTTCAGAATTCATATAAAGCACCAGCATGAGCATGGAAAACAAAGGTGAAACTTGCCTATAGTTCAGACTGAACTTCTAAATTTGACTTTGTGCTCAGACTCACTTAGGATTTCAAGCTATCCACTTGAAAGGGTATTTCAAAAGGAAAGTGTTACAATGACTTATATAACAAAAATATGGAAATAAGCTAACGCCCAATAATAGATATTTGGGTAAATATATCAGTATACACAAGGAGTATGCCGCTGTTATAATAGTATGATAAAATAGAAACAGAAAATGGCTTACAAATAATCTCATAAATAATATTAAATAGAAAAAGAAAATGAAACTGATATGCATCAAGGTTATATTTCTGTGATAATCATGTCACAGAGAGTATGTAGATAATGATCAGGAGGAAATGCTTATAGTATTAGGGTAAATGGTTTTAAAGTGACATTTTAAAAATTATATTTAGGTCTTGAATGGTAATAAAAATGCAAACAGGTTCAACTTTTCTAGAGTACAATATGTATCAGAAGTCTTAAAGCTATACCTACCGTCTCACTACTAAGTCTACTACTATGAATGTATCACCCTAAGAAAATACTCTCGCATATAACGACAGATGATATATGACTGCAAAACAACTATCATTGCAAAAAACAAAATGATAATAAAATTCAAGCATCAGAATACTGCCCTTTATGAAAAGTCCTGGAAAGGCATTTTTAATTATGGCAGAGACTGTCCCTCATGCCCATTCTTGCCTCTTCCTTTCAGTAACAGAATCCCTAAAGCTTTCCCTAAGCACACGGCTGCCAGGATAGAAACCACATCCTCATCTTCCTGCAAGCAGGCAGGCTATGACCATACTGCTCACTTCTGAGTTATCTCCTTCACACAAAGCCACTTGCCCTGAGCTACCTCTCTCCTGCCTTCCTGTGGGTTGGAAGAGACATGGAGGTGACCCAGCTGCAGCCAGGGAACTGGGTCCCTACATGACCTCACAGAAAGCAGCCACAATCCCCTCTATCATCAATCTGGGGCTCTGCTCTCTGAACTTTATTATAAGAAAGAAACTCTTTATTTAGCAGCTGTATTTTGGGGTTTCTAATACATCAGCTTAGCTTGTATCTAGCAAATATAATGGTATTTCATTAAATGAAAATTTACTTAAAAGCAGATGTAGTATGATCTGACTTTTGTCATGGAAATGATTATATTATAAAATTATAAGATTATACCAAAATATTAATAGTGACTATTGCTGGGTGCTAAACAGTCATTTTTCTTTCACTCACATATTTTCTAAAATTTCATAAAACATATTACATGTATAGCAAAAGTTATCCTGAATATCCTTTATATGGTGTTCTTTAGAAGTCTTCCAAAAGTATGTTTTTTCCTTTAAAAAAAAAAAAAAACAGCACATCAAAATCATCTAAGGTACTTATTCAAACATAGATCTTAGGATCACAGCCCTAGGAATTCAGAGTCTCCACAGGGCTCAGGCCCAAGAATCTGTATTTTTAATAGCACCTTAGGTAGTTCAGAACAACACTGGAAAGATATGTTGGGATGGCTTTCCTCAAACAGGCGTGAGTACCTGGACTCTGGTCAAGTCGACTCTGGGGAGCTTCAAAGTTCATCAGGTTTATAAGGGGAATGGAAGATAAGCACACTAAATTTAAAAGCCCACTAAAGAATGAGGTATGGCATTTATTAACAAGTTAATATGCATTATTTAAACAAAAAGTCAACTTCTGAATGTATGTAAATAAAATGGCCTTTAAGGTCAACCCCAAACTCATACCATAAGAGCCCTCAAATGCCACACCTGAATTCTAGCCTCAGCCTGCCCGGCATCCAGACCTGCCCGGCATCAAGACTTGCCCACCTTCCACAGAAGCCTTTTCCTGGGCTGCCTCTTGGAGCCTGCAGCCTGTACCAGTGGCAGCCCCTGGCCAATAGCCCAGAGGAGGGAGAGCCAAAGGGAAGATCATACAAAACGCTGCACAGAGCAACCATTTTATTGACAAAAGATGGTTCAGTGGTCAGAAGAGCAAAGGGCCAGGCTGCTTTCTACAGCAAATCTGGGCTTTGCAAATATTCTAGAGGTATATTCTAGTGTAGTTATAATCTAAAGTCACCAGGTCACAAATGGGGCAGAGAGCCCCCTCACCCTGCAGCCTTTGACCCTGGCTAGCTTCTGGGTAAGTGGGCTGGAACAAGAGCAGTAGCCTAGATGACAGCCAATCCACTGGCTCTACTGCAAACCCCATGCCAAGAGGAGGCCCAAGACACAGAAGGGTGAAGCAACGCAGGTCTGTAATATAAAATGGAGTTGTCCCAGAGCAGCCTTGGTTTCAACATCCCAAGGGCATCTGAAGTCCCAGGTCTGGTGGCCATTTGTACTTTGCTGAGGCCTGGGGTATACTGTGCATGGGCTGCTGGCGGTCACTAAGCTGGTAGGAAAGCTCAGCACCTGTCTCCAGCCGGCTCAGTCACCCTCCATCATCTCTGGGGGTGCCATAACTGCTAAGGTGACAGACATTGGGCCTTTCGGGAAAATGTGCATTAGGTAAGAGGCTCCAGGCATCCTCAAAAATGTAGGGGAATTCTAGTGACAGGGTATATGAAGAAAACAAGTGACTATCAGCATAAATGTGACCAAGGAAACAAGCGGAGATCTGAACCAAGAACCAAAAATCCTCAATATTTATGAATTTGAGAACTTTTGAAGGTTTTGGGCATTCCATAAGTGGTAAGTGTGTGCTGTCTAGCATGTCATGAACTATTTGCATTCCAGATGCCCCTCTTCTAGGCCACAGCAAACTCTGCCCCTGAGGAACTGACACTCTCAGCCTTCTAGTTCCTGTAAAGGGCCAGGCACCTGAGGCCAGGCTCTTCCTAGTTCCTTAGAGATAAGCCCCAGGGAGAGGAGAACTATAACACTGTTGGAGCTCCTGGGGCAACTGAAGAAGGAGATGAAAGTATCAGGATGTCCCGATCAGTGACTCCCAAACCTGGTAGGGCAGAAGAATCTACTAGGCAGATTTTTTAAAAAAACAAATCCTCAAAAATAAAAAGGAATGAACCACTGACATACACAACATGGGTAAATCACAAAACAATTATGCTGAGTGGAAGAAGCCAGACAAAAACAAGTATAAACTGCATAGCTGTTCTCATACAAGCTCTAGAAAATGTAAACTAAGCTACAGTGACAGGAAGCAGATCAGTGGGATGGATGAGAGGGGTAGGAGGAGGTGTCATAAAGGAGCAGCAGGGACCTTTTAGGGTGATGATATATTCACTGTGTTGATTATGGTGATGGTTTCACAGGTGTATACAAACACTGAAATATATCAAATTGTGCACTTTAAATATTGTATGTCACTTATACCTCAATAAAATTTTTAAATTAATAATAAAAGTGGCGAGGCACAGTGGCTCACTCCTGTAATCCAGCACTTTGGGAAGCTGAGGTGGGCAGATCATGAGGTCAGGAGTTCGAGATCAACCTGGCCAAGATGGTGAAACCCGATCTCTACTAAAAATACAAAAATTAGCTGTGCATGGCAGCGAGTGCCTATAATCCCAGCTATTCGGGAAGCTGAGGCAGAGAATTGCTTGAACTCGGGAGGCAGAAGTTTCAGTGAGCCGAGATCATGCCGCTGCACTGCACTCCAGCCTGAGTGACAGAGCAAGACTCAGTCTCAAAAATAAATTAATAATAATAATAATAACAAAAGTATAGATTCTCTAGTCCAAATGATTGGGACACAGGAGTCTTTGTTTTTATAAGTCTGGATGGTAGCCAATCCAAGAGTTCCACTATAATCCCAACTCCTTTTACCTTTTTAAAGCAATGTTTCATTAAAGGGTGTACTTTCTAAAGCAATTCAGTGATTCTTCTGCAAGCAGTGACTGCCAGGTGTTTGGAAATTACTATTCAAGACACTTACAGTATCTTGGTTTAGGGCTTAAATGGTGAGTTGTTTCATATTTAAAATGAACTTAGTTAAAAAAAGACATTGCACATAATTATGTCCTGAGGTGGAAAGAAGTTCCTGTCATATTGTCAGGTGAAAAAAGAAAAGCAAGCTGTAAAACGATAAGCAGGAGAAAAATCCATCTATTTCTACATCTACTATTGCTATCCATGTCTTTAACAGCATCTTTTTGAAAAGAGGTATAGAATAGAATGTAGAGACATTCAGTATCTATAGATGTGCATTTCCTCTCCATCTAGGGTTATAGAGTGATTTTATTTTCACTTTAGGAGATTTTTGTTCTAGATGTAGTTACTAAATTTTCTAGAATGAACATGCCTTATTTATGTCATAAAATAATCAAAACTGTATTTCAATAGTCAGGGGCCCCCATTCACATCTGTGAGTGGTTTAGCTCCAGTTTATCCACTGCTGTTCCAAGCACATTGTGTTCTGGGCTCATGTTGAAACAGTGGTTTCTATCTCCAAAACCGCTTTAAAATCACTCTTTGTGAAGCAACACAGAAATAAAATAAAGCTAGGACTCAGTGAGAAACAGATGGAGGGGAGGAAACAGGAGGAGGAAAAGAAAGAGGGAGAGAAGGCAAGGGAGAGAATATGTAAACCTGAGACTTGAAGAAGGGAGAGGAGGAAAAAGAAAGAGGTCAACCCCGTAGCTGTCTGTGAACCCATGCATAATACAGTGTGTCCCACCAAGGCTATCAAAAGCAACACAAGCGTGATGACAAAAGCCCGAGACTCTGGGGAAGAAAACCAGATCAGATTTGTAAGCAGATGGTCTTTCTATTTGGGAAGGGTTTACATGCCCAGACCTTTCTGATGTTGATTTACCTAAGCCCAGCTGCACTCCTGGCATGCCTACCTGGCTCCAGTGTAACATGTTCTGCACAGAAGTTCCAGCAGGAGAATGGGTTGTATACACATCCACTCGAGACTGCAAAATAAATACATTGAAATGAAGAAAACAGCATTAAGGTGGCATTGATAATAAACATTGTGTTTTGCCCTTCAAATCACTAAAAACTAGAGCCACAATCTCAAGTTTATGAGATCAAAGGTAGAAGAAAATTATTTGCTTAAAAATCTGTCATGTAAAAATACATACAACCACACTCAGAGTACGATGTGAAGGAGGTGCAACAATATGGTAAGCATGGGACTGTGTGGGTGGTCTTTACAGGGCATGTTCCTTTTCTTCTTCATGCTTTCCTGAATTTCCCAAATTTCATATAACAATTATCAGGCGAAAGAAAAATGGCACTTAAATTCCTTAGGGCCTTTATTCTAGGATTTTAACACCTGTTTTTAAAATGCTACATGACAAACTAACAAATATATTTAGAAACACCAGCATAGTATTGGCTAAGGGTTTACATTTTATAAAATAAAATGGGTTTAAATTTTATAAAATTTTTTATACATACACAGACACAAGTGTGTGTGTGTGTGTGTGTGTGTGTGCAAGTATACACATATGTGTATGTAAATGACCATTCCAAATTTAAATACTTAGAGTAATTTTTTTAATTTGTGTATTTTAGATTTGGGAAATACATGTGCAGGCTTGTTACCAGGGTAGACTGCATGATGCTGAGATGTGGGCTTCTACTGATCCCATCACCATAGTACTCAATATTGGCTATGGTACTCAACAGGAAGTTCTTCAGCCCTTGTCCCTCTCCCTCCTTCCTTTTGGAGTCCCCAGTGTCTATTGTTCCTATCTTTATGTCTACCCCTTACTTTAATTTCTAAAAGAAATAAATCACTAGAATGAATATAAATATTACAACTTAAATTGTGACAGATCTCCTCATTCAATAGTCTCCATCTAAACACAACACAGGAAGGTGACGGCCACCAGCCTGAGGATAGCAGCAGGTGGTACTGTATTCCTGGCATTGGCCAAAGTTCATTCTTGTGCCTCTCAAAGGAAAGACCCTTTAGAGTTCTGATGAGGTCAATCCTGCCTCTCCCACATCATTCAACACAAATAAGCATATTTACAGATAAAAGAAAATCAAATCTTACTATAAACAGGCATACCATATTTAAATTTCTCTCATTAAATCCACACAGAAGAAAAAAGAGATTTCCACAGAGCTCCTTCAGTATGACATGAGTGCAAACATGGGTACCCAGCCACTTCAAAAATGCACTCTGGGGAAGAAATTCTTTGTCTCCAAATAAGTCCTACAAAATAAAAAGAAACCCAAGAATATCTCACATTTCCTTCTGGTGCACAGGTCTCCATGACTCACCTCAGAAGCAGAGACAAGCAGCCAGTGTCTCCACAGTCTCGGGAGAGACTGGCAGCCAGTGGACATTCAAACCAGGATGCTTTTGCAAAAGTTTACTAAGGCAAAAATCACACACTGCAGAGGTGTATGTAAATTCTCCAAATGAAGAGAAGGAGGCAGAAAATAAAATAAGTTTACAGCAGACTTCTGCAATGGGAAAGGGCCTTAATGATCCCCTATCCCAGGGCCATCCCAAGTAGTTTTCATCTGACTCTGATGGATGGGTGGTTACTTCTAAGAAACAGTCAAAGCTGTGATTGATCAGCAATGTCTTCCAGATGTGTGTCCATCTAATTCAATGCTACCGGCCAGCAAGCCAAATCCAGTCCACTCCTTGATTTTTGTTTTTAAATTTTTTTTATTGGCCAGGCATGGTGTCTCATGCCTGTAATCCCAGCACTTTGGGAGACCAAGGCAGGAGGACTCCCTGAGCCCAGGAGTTTGAGACCCGCCTGGGCAACATGGTAAGACCCTCATCTCATTAAGTTTAAAAACAAAAACGAACAAACAAAAAAACATTTTTATTGTGGTAGAACATACATAATATAACATTTACCATTTTAATCATTTGAAACAGGGATCCTCAACTCCCAGGCCGTGAACCAATTCCAGTCCATGGCCTGTTAGGAATCAGGCCACAGAGCAGGACGTGAGTGGCTGGCAAGTTAGCCTTACCACCTGAGCTCTACCTCCTGTCAAATCAGCAGTGGCATTAGATTCTCATCGGAGCACAAACCCTACAAACTGCACATGCGAAGGATCCAGGTTGCAAGCTGCTTGTGAAAATCTAATGCTTGATGATCCTAGGTAGAACAGTTTCATCCCCAAACCATCCACCACACCATCCATGAAAAAATTGTCTTCTGCGAAACTGGTCCCGGGTGCCAGAATGGTTGAGGACTGCTGATTTAGAAGAGTTCAGTTTAGTGGTACTAAGTACACTCACACTGTTGTGCAACCATTGCCACTATCTTCAGAACTTTTCCATCTTCCTAAACTGAAACTCAGTACTCATTGAACAACAACTCCCCATTCCCCCTCCCCATAGCACTACCTATTTTTATAAATAAAGTTTTATTGGAACACTACTATACTCATCTCTACACATTGTTTCTGACTGCTTTCATGTTATAATGGCAGAGTGGTGTTTTTACAAGAAACCAATGGCCCACAAAGTCAAATATATTTACTGACTGGCCCTTTCATTTACTGACTGAAAAGTTTGCCAACCCCTGGCCTACACTGTTCCTAATCAATGGTCGGTGAACCTGTGTTCAAGTATTTGCAGGGCAATCTCTACACTCTAAAGGAAGATCTTCACATACTTGTGCAATGGAAAGAGGAGAAAGATCTTCCTTATATTGAACCCAAACCTGCCCCCTTATAATTTACACTCTGGCTCATGTCTATCCTCTAGAGGGACAAACAGAAATAAACAACCCAAATGCCTATAAAGGCAGTTTTAGAAGTTGAATTGTATCTCCCTTAAAAAAAATATAAAGAACCCCTAACCCACAGTATCTCAGAATAGCCATATTTGGAGATAGCCTCCTTACAGAGGAATCAAGTTAAAATGAGGTCATTAGGGTGGGCCCTAATGCAATATGATTGCTGTCCCTACAGAAAGGGGAAATTTGGGCACAGTGACAGACATGCACACAGGGAGAATGGCATGTGAAGATGAAGGCAGAAATCAGGGTGTTGCTAACAAGCAAAACAATATATTTCTTTCAGTGCATCTGTATGTATATAAATTCACATACAAGATCTTTAGGAAAAGACCCCAAAATGAGCGCTGTGTTTAATTCTGAGAAAAGTAGGAGAAGTCTTGATAGTTCAAGAGTACTTTATTTGTAATCTCTGAACTGTTCATAATGAAAATTCATGCTTCCATTACCCAGAGCATCAAAAATAAACTTAGTCAGAGGGGCTACATCTTATCTGCATGCTCTGGTCCCTGGTGCAGTAAATCTCCTATTATGTGAAGTCAGGTTTTGAGATCAGAGAGGCCATCTTTCCTGTTAAAGTCTTCTAAATGGCCCATGAGAGACATCACACCTGATTTCAAGTATATATTTCTATACAGGATTTCATGTGTCTGTGTAAACATATATTTCATAAAAGACATATATAATGCATGCATAACAGACCATCTGGACTTAGCTGGCTTAAAACTCTTTTTCATGAAATCTATTTCCTCCTTGAACAGAGCTTGGGGTCTCGAAGCTTTAGGGCAGACCTCTGATGAAGCTACTGGCTGTGTTTTGGAGCCATATTATAAAATACGGTAATGATGGTGTTGTTAGATCTCCCTCAGTGTAGCTAGGGATGGGCTTTTGGGAAAAGCACATTTCCTGTCTCCCATCTCCTCCTACCTCCTCTGTGCATAGGCTCATCTCATGGGATAAAGGGCAACTCCACCAATGCTTAAACAATTTTCTCCCAGAACCCCCTTGCTGTCCCTATGAGGTGGGCAGAGCTGTACTGACAATGCTAACCATGAGTACACGTGGCACCAGTGTGCAGGGAATGACAGGCATCCCAGGCCACCCCTGGGTCTGGAAGGAGGGGTAAATGGAAGAAGAAAAGCCCATTGTTCCACTGATATCAAAATGCAGGGAGGAAGGCACAGCTTCTCCCTCCACTGGCCAGTTCTTCCGATCTGCGGAGGAATCTGTGGGGAGAGGAGAGGGATAGGAGGGGTGCAAGTACCTTAATGAGAAGATCTGGAAAACGTCCTAATTTGGCCAGTGGGCTAGTACAGAAGTCCACGGAAGCCACAGGAGCCAGGGCAAAAAACATTTTAATCCTTTTGGCCAGCTCAGGTATCTGTGAAAATGCTATAAAACCTGTGGGAACAAAGGGAAGAAAGCAGGAATTCCATTTTCTGGGATTTCCTTTTCTCAGAAAAGACAAAGGGCATCACCCGCAGTGTCCTCTCACAGTGGCCTGAGACCACACAAACACCACCACCGGCAAGAGGCAAAACACTTGACATGGAGCCCTCTGAACTTCCGTGTGCCCGAACACTAAATTTGATTAAACTAGTAAATCAAGCATTTGTAAATGCTAGTTCCAAATCTCGACCTAGATAAATGCTGAAAGAAATCCAGGCTGGGAGAACCAGAAAATCTTTCCAGTTCCGTTTCCAATTTAAATCACAGACTGTATTTCCAAGAGCCTCACCCCATCACTTTTAGCCCCACCATGCCCCTTCCCCAAAGGACAATTCCCAGACACCACGTTCAAATAAACCACCAATTATTTCAAAGGAACACACAGTTAGAATCTCCTAGCTTTAAAATATTTTTTAACCCTTGATATGGTTTGGCTGTGTCCCCACCCAAATCTCATCTTTAATTGTAGTTCCCATAATTCCCATGTGTTGTGGGAGGAACCTGATGGAGGATAATTGAATCATGGAGGCAGTTTCCCACGTGCTGTTCTTGGGGTAGTGAATGCGTCTCATGAGATTTGATGGTTTTATAAGGGGAAACCCCTTTTCACTTGGCTCTCATTCTCTCTTGTCTGCCATCATGTAAGACATCCCTTGATCTTCCACCATGATTGTGAGGCCTCCCTAGCTCACCATCCATTAAACTGTGAGTTCATTAAACCTCTTTTTCTTTATAAATTGCCCAGTCTCATGTATGTCTGTATTAGCACTGTGAAAACAGACTAATACAACCTTCTTTGACTTCTTGCCACTTGGCCCCAGAATGTCACTTTAGTGAGCAGTGGAGCAAAGAGCACAAGTAGAAACTCCTGCTTACTATAATTATGGGCAATTTTTATTTTCTTTAACTTTGCTAAATTTTCTGTTTTTCTACAGTGAACACACATTACTTAAATAATCAGCATAAATTAAAATGCACATCACTTTTCAAAATTGTTTGTAAACTAAATGTAACTTATACCTGCAGTTAGTTAAATTCCACTTAACTTCAGAAAGCAGTACTTTTTTTTCGTTTTCTTTTAAAATGCCACTGAATTTAGAAACTACTTGTTTTCTACCCTCTCACATCCCCATCTTGCTTTATCTAGGAAAACATGTAATATATCGGGGCTTACATTAATTTCAATTTCGAGAAAACTATATACCATTAATTTTCAGAGAAGACTAAATGTTACCAAAATTCCTTATCCTATTCATTATTTCTGTTTGGCGTTTTAAAATAAACTGTATTTGAGCTTACGTCTTTTTATATTTCACTTGTAAGTACAAACTCTGTAATGAAGACTTTATATCGACTTCTGATCTTATTTACATACATACCTATGGTGGTGCCTTGAGAATGACCCACATAATACACTTGTTCTTGGCCAGTTTTATTCAAAATGAAGCTAATAGAAGCTGGTAGGTCATATTTTGCCATCTCATCATAACTGTAATCCAAGAGAAGAACTCTTTCATTGAAATAGTACATGCAATAGAATAGCACACACATACTGAGTATGCAGTTTAATGAGTTATCACAAACTAAACACAGCTGTGAAAGCCAGCAATGAGTCCAGGAAACAATATCAGAAGGACTGCAGAAGCCCCCTTGGGCGCTCTTACAATTGTGTCTCCCAAAGGTAACTATTGTGCTCATTTTGCACACCATAAATTAGTTGTAGCCATTTTAAATATTTCTGTAAGTAGAATTATACAGTGTGTATTCTTCTGTATCTGGTTTCATCCATTTTTTGCTGCATATAATCGTAGGTTGTTCATTCTTATTCTACTATATAAATATATAACACTTTGTCCATTCACTGCTGACATGCATTTGAGTCGTTTCCTGTTTTCTGCTGTTACAAATAATGTGACAATAAATCTATTTTTGTATATGCCTTTTGGTAAAAGCTCTCATTCTTGTGTTTCAGGTCCTTAGAGTGGCCTCTGGTTTTACAAACGGGAAGCAAGCCCAGAGGCTGCTATTGTGCTGCTGACTTTCTCTAATACCTGAAACCAAAACATAGACCAAAATCCAGGTGTGCATATGGGCATGTGTGTGTGCCTGCTGCCACTGTCAGGAGAAGAGCCAACACCTAGCAAGCTCCTACAATGTGCCAGGCTCTGTAGAGGTTCCTTCCTGCATCCTCTCTTTTAAGCCCCCAGTGACCTTATGAGGTAGGTGTTTATTATGCCCCATTTTAACAAATGAGGAAACCAAGACACAGGGGGCTTATGTAATATGTCCAATGTTGTACAGCAATTAATTGGTAGAGCCAGAAGTAAGACAGAGGAAAGGATAATTTCTGGAAAGAAGAAAAGTGAACATCTGGAGTACATATTTATGGAGAAAGGAGGAAAGTTATGGAACCGCATTTACCCAGCAGCTCCCACACCACCAGAAATGCCAAAATAACGTAAGAATTCCTAACTAAATCTAAATCTTAAAGTAATCATTTACTTATAATTTACTTTACTGCTAGTCATTAAATTCCTAGCAACATTTAAAAACTTTCAAAAGACACCAGCTTCCCCTCTCATACAACTTCAAAGTTACCCACCCATCTGCCTCGTCTGCTGGAATCCTGTGTGTCTGCTTTAAGAGCACTAAGGAAATACAGCCATGCCATTATCAATTCAAATATACCTGAAAGCCCAGAATTCATCCTGAGAAACTGAGAGTGTCTTATGTTTCCGAGACCAGGTATTTCCTCTGCTGTTGCCCATCCACACATCAAAACCAGCATCAGCAAGAATGAAGCCCAGGCTGCTGTTGGCAAGGTTTGTGACCCAGTTACTAGAATCCGCCAGCAAGCCATGTTGCAGGAAGACAACTGGTTTGGGACCTGAAAAACATTCATTGTTTAGGAGGTAGAAGCACCAAGCTTCAAAACAAACATGATATCTTGCTAAATAGAACATTCATAAAAGATCCATAAGCAAATAATGAACTAGAAGTAAATTAAAATCTTGAGGTAGCGATGTACTCCCACATGACATTAGTAAAGAATTTTTTTAAACAGCGCTGGCAAGGTAGCAGTAAAACTGGACCATGTTTTGCATGACCAGCAACAAGACACACTTACTTAGCAGCATGAACAAAAATCAACATATTTTTAAGAACTTATAAGATGTTTTTACAGTTTGCTTTGGTAATTGCATCTCTCACAATAATTCCTAACAAAATAAACCAAAGGAAAGAAAAAGATCACACATGATGAGACACTACTATACATGTATCAGAATGACCAATATCCAAAAACGCTGAAAACACCAATTGCTGATGAGGATGTGGAGGAATAGGAAATTTCATTCATTGCTGGTAGAAATGCAAACTGGTAGCACCACACTGGAAAAGCTTGACAGTTTCTTACAAAACTAAACAGACTCTTACCATATAATCCATATGAAATACCACATAATTCCTTGGTATTTTACCCAAAGGAGTTGAAAACAACGTTTACACAAAACCTGCATATAGATGTCTATAGTAGCTTTACTCATAACTGCCAGAATTTAGAAACAACCAAGATGTCGTCCAGTAAATGAATGGATGACCAAACTGTGCTACATCCGACGATGGAGTGTTGTTCAGCCCTAAAAGGAAATGAGCTATCAAGCCATGAAAAGACATAGAGGAATCTTAAATGCATATTACTAAGATCTATAAAGGCTACATTCTATATGACATGCTGGAAAAGGCAAAACTAGAGAGACAGTAAAAAAGATCCTGGTTGCCAGAGGTTAGGAGAGAGGAAGGGATTCATAGAGCAAAGAGGATTTTTTAGGGCTGCGAGACCACTCTGTATGATATTAAAGTGGTAGATACCTGTCATCATACATTTGTCCAAAACTATAGAATATACAACATAAAGAGTGAACTGTAACGGCCAAGTATGATGGTTCACACCTGTAATCCCAACACTTGGGGAGGCTGAGGTGGGTGGATCACTTGAGGTCTGTAGTTTGAGACTAGCCTGGCCAACATGGCGAAACCCTGTCTCTACTAAAAATACAAAAAAAAAAAAAAATTAGCTGGGCATGGTGGCATGCACCTGTAATCCCAGCTATTCAGGAAGCTGAGGCAGGAGAATTGCTTGAACTCAGGAGGCAGAGGTTACAGTGAGCCAAGATTGCACCACTGCACTCCAGCCTGGGTAACAGAATGAAAGTCCATCTCAAAAAAAAAAATGAGTGAGACTCCATCTCAAAAATAAAAAGTGAACCCTAATGTAAACTATGGCCTAGTGTTAATGTAGGTTCATCAGCTATAACAATTACAATTCCACTCTGGGGGACATTCATTACAGGGGAGTGTGGGGGCAGAGGGTATATGGGAAATCTCTGTACCTTCCACTCAATTTTGCTATGAACTTAAAACTGCTTTTAAAAAAATAAAATTTAATACAAATGTTTTATGCTAAAAAAGTTATATAGATAAAAAGGGTCACACACACAAATTCATAAAATTATGTGTATGTGTCTCCCTGTGAGAATTTATTTTCTACTCCCCTGTACCTGAGACAATGATACAGCAGAAAAAAACAGGCCAGGCACAGTGGCTCACACTTGTAATCCCAGCACTTTGGAAAGCTGATACAGATGGATCACTAGGTCAAGAGATAGAGACCATCCTGGCCAACATGGTGAAACCCCATCTACTAAAATTATAACAATTAGCTGCGCATGATGGTGCATGCCTGTAATCCCAGCTACTTGGGGGGCTGAGGCAGGAGAATCACTTGAACCCAGGAGGCAGAGGTTGCAGTGAGCTGAGATTGCACCACTACACTCCAGCCTGGTGACAGAAAGAGACTCTGTCTCAAAAAAAGAAAAGAAAAGAAAAGCAGGAAAGGAAAGGAAAAGGAAAGGAGAAAAGAAAGAAGACAAAGACATGGAAGCCAAAGAAACCTGACCTCAAGCTGCTTCTCTAATGCTGAGACTTTTCGATTATTTGTGAAACAAGCCTTTATTGAGTGCCAACTATGTGCCAGGCATTCTTTTCAGCACTGAGAACAAAGCAGAGAACAAAAACAAGAGGGAAAAAAAGTACCCCCATGGAGCTGACATTATACTGACCATGAGTTTCATTTTATTCACTTATGTGATTGATTGATTGATTGATTGATTGACTGATTGATTGAGAGAGATAGGGTCTTGGTCTGTCACCAGGCTGGAGTGCAGTGGCATGATCTTGCGTCTCCTGGGCTCAAGTGATCCTTCCACCTCAGCCTCCGGAGTAGTTTGTGATTACAGGCATGCACCACCACAGCCAGCTAATTTTTGTGGGTTTTGTGGAGAGGATGTTTCACAATGTTGCCAGGCTGTTCTCAGACTCCTGGGCTCAAGTGATTCTCCCACTCAGGGCCCTGAGGAGCTGGGATTACACGCATGAACCACAACATCCAGCCAATTTTTTAAAAAATTTTTTCATAGAGATGAGTTCTTACTGTGTTGCCCAGGATGGTCTCAAACTCCTGGCCTCAAGTGATTCTCTTGCCTCAGGCTCTTAAAGTGCAGGGATTACAGAAGTGAGCCATCATGTCTGGCTGCTGTGATTTTCTAATCACAAAATAGAAATGCCAGGGCCATGTAAATGAACTTCTAGACATGGGGAGAAAATAGAAAGCAAATAGAACAAGATTAGGGCTACTCAATATGCTCATGTTTGCCTTCAAAGGTTCATTTTAATGCAATATTAACAAGACTGAATTTACTATGAAAAGTGTATGTGGAAGGCACTGTGGTAGATACAGTGTCTTATGCACAGGCTTCTTCACTTCAATGAAGATGATAATCCAGCTAGGAAAATATGAAAAAAAATGATCATTAAAAGTTCAAAATTATAAACTTCAGTGTAAGTGACAGTAATAATCACCAAAATTAATTCATCATTAAATTATAGTTGAAAAAAGTGTTTTGAATAATAGTTCATCCAAAGTAGGGCTGCCTTGTTGGCAACTGCAGGCAGCGTCGTCATTTCATGGTAACTATACAATGCAGTGTGAACGGCACCCAGGAGCTATACGATGCAGTGGCTTTGCCCTACTGATGGAGAAGAAAGAAGGGCTTTCCTGCTCATGCCACAGCTCCTTAGGTATGCTGAGACCCTTTTCACGCATAGAAAGTGATTGGGGGGCTAGGCCATGAGGAAGGCAACTTGACTTTCAAAGGCCAGGAGCAGGATGCTCCCACAGGTCAGGTCATTTCCAACAAAAACAACTGCAATTGTCTTCCCTCGGGATGCAGAGTCAAAGTGAAACAAGAGGAAGGCTCCATAGGTGGCCTAATTCTTGGCACCTGTTCCAATCTGTGCCTCTGTAGCTAACAGTGGAAAACCCGAGGCTGCCTGTTCCACTTCTCAGGGAAGAGTGTCCAGAGAAAGGCAGGAATGGTTTGAAACCAGAGAGGCCCTGGGGCAGGGATAACTGAGAGAGGAGGAGGAGGGTGATGTGTGGCAGCCAGGCCAGAACAGAGGCTGGAAGGGAGATGTTGGCCAGCTCATGGGAGCAAGACTCAGCTCCCCACCTTCTCTCGATGAGGAATGTTTAAAATTCCCCTGAAGTCTCTGTACTTCTCTCTCTAACCTCCAGGAGCTTTGAAGGGGAAATGTGGAAGTGGACAAGTCAAAGATATATCAGGAAAATCTTTAAACATCCCCAATAAATAACTCCTGGATTCCCCAGGAAAGTCTTTAAACATCCCCAATGAATAACTCCTGGAATCCCAAGGGCAATGAGGAGCTGCCGCAGCTTTCCTGGGAGGTAAGTGTAAAACAAGGAATGCATGTGAACAATTGCATGTGGACAGCTGGAGCACATGCTACCCAGGAGACCACGTCTAAGGCAGCTGAGTGGCTTCTAAGAACACCTGTAAATGACCTCCTTCCACCCAGACCTAATTCACACCTGTACAACGCTTTTCTCAGGGAATTACTTCATCCTTTAAAGGAGCCTTCTAAAAAGTTCCCAGACCTTTACCCTGCCCACCATGGAAGGTTTTCCCAAAGCTCCTGGCTTTGCCCCATGTATTACATTTCTGTGGATTTGACCTTGCCCAAAACAACCATTACTGCAATATAGGTTATAAAGAGTTCATGTTTGACAGAAAAAGAAACAAAGAAAATAACAGTTTAGCAACATTAAAATAAACTATTTACATGAAGGGGTTATCTATGGATATTCATTACCCCTAACTCAGTGCCACAAGTGGCTGGGCACAAAATGGGAGTGACAGCTCAGGAATAAAGAGAACACAGCAGCACACACGCATGTACGAACACATGCACATAAACAGACCTGCTGGTGTAGACCGCAGAGTGACAGCAAAGCTGTCCAGTGGGATTGATGGGGAGAGTGTGGACAAAACTCAGGGATTTGTTAAGACATCTGTAAAATAGAAAGAACAAATCAAAGCCACTATTTTTCTAATTGTTTTGCTTGTTTGTTTGTTTGGGTTTTTCCATCCCTCACTTCAAACTGAATACAAAGGCTCAATGAACAACAGACACAAAAGATGCACCAGATGGGAAAGAGACAGTGAATCTATTCTTTGCAAGCTAAATGTTTTCAAATCTGGAAAATCTGGGCCAAGCACTGCAAAGGGTACTGCAGACCACACTGTTTTCTCATGGGAAATACTGACAGATGAGGAAAGGGGCTGATAAAGGCAAACACCTGACAAATGGCATGGCTTTAGAGTAATGGAGGCCACTCAGCTGTGACGTCCACATTCAGCTGAAGAATTTTTAATGAGAATGTGCTGTATCTTAGGCAGTGCACTAGAAATTAAAATATCAAGAACTGATTTGAAAACACATATTATGTTTTGTGTAAACCTTTAGCGA